CTGAACTTTTCAGACTGTATAGTCTCTGCAGAAATCAAGCACCTACTGAAGTAATTGCTTTCAGTTCCCTCATGCTACAAAGCACCCTCGTGGTCCATCACAGGAAAGAACGCCAAACAATGGAATGCCAAAAGCTATTCTTGTCTCCACTTAACCTCCTCCCCTTTTCCAACAGGTTTCCACCCTTTCGGCAGGCAACAGGTGCTGAATTGCCATGAATTATACGAAATCAGCTCTGGTTTGGGGTTCTCAACACATCAAGACCCTGAACTGGGAGTTTGGGTATCACTGTAAGGAGAGACTAGCTGTTGCTGGAGCAGGAGTGGGAGTCTCTGATCTACATAAACCTATGTAAAACCATGCCACAGCCAAATGGAGCAGTACCTTTCGTGGTTCCTACCCCTGGTGCTGACCTCAGCACCCTGCAAGAGAAAAAAAAAAAAAACAAACAAAACTTTCAGTTACCTTAGCAAATGATCAGTCTGTCCACTGGTCCCACAGCAGTGGTGCTTAAACAGAAGGAACAAATAAAGGCAGCGGCCACACAGCTGAAGCCACCTATGAAACTTTCCCAGAGAGAAGAGGCATTACTGTCCAACTCCCTCTAGATAAGTCACTCACAACTTGGGGCCTTGGACTCTACAATTAGCTAGAGCAGTCCATCCCTCTTCTCCCACTGTAACATCTAGGCTGTTTTGACATTTTTTTGGTCAACACAAGGCACAATACAGCATTGGACATCAGACTCTAATAGGCCATAAAATGTTATGTTTTAAATGCATGTCCGTGTGGGATTTTCAAAATGCACAAAATGTCAAGCTTTCCTTTTTTTTTTTTTTTTTTACCCTCCTCTATTTTGAGTGACAAAGCTAGTTCAAACCAAATTAAGTACAAACAGTGTCCTGGCTAAGACCCTACATTGAGATTGAGCTGAAGACAGAAATTCTGGGGACAAGTTATAAACCTTAGAGAAAAAAAAATTCCACAGTTATTATGGAAAGAATGACACAAGCTTAGCTAAAGCAGCACTGCAAACTTAACTGGAACAGTAACACCACAAGATAAAAATTTGGGGGGTGGAGGAAAGCTCCCTTGATGTGATTAGTTACCAAGAGAAAGACAAAGGCTTTACACCTACCCTTGAAATAACCCATGGATCTGTTTAAGAAAATGAGTCTTCTGTCAAAACTACTGAAATGTGCTTGCTTTTGCCAGGTTCATCAAAGAAAGGGCCATATAGGAAAAACAGTAGAGAAAGTAAGTATTTTAGCAACGTCCAGTAGTAGCCACTATGTCTTACACTTTGCATCTTCCAAATGCCCCCAGGACACAGGATCAATTCTTACACAAAGAGCAGATATTTTTGGTTGGGACTTTATGGGCAGGGGGAGAACATGGCTAAAAGCTCTAAGTGGCTTCTCAGAGAAAAAATCAGTCTGCACACCGTAACAGTTTGTATGCGAGGAACTGATTTAAATCAACCTTAACTAAGAAAAGTTTAAACATGTTAGGATTACCTAATTCAGGAGCCTGGAGTGGCAATTGACACATTGGTGCTTTTCCCCCTCCCGAAACATGTTCAACAGTCATCATCAATGTTTCTGCGACAGCTGATGGTTCAGGAGTGATTTTGTTTTTCAAATATAACCTTTTTTGGTGGTGTCCAGCACATTAACAACCCCGATTGTTTTCACTATAAAAAAAATTCGATATTTAGCCCAGATAAGGTTTCAGGAAAATTCAGTAGAATTGCAATGAATCTCAGTCCAATATCACCTGTGCTATTAAACGCTCCCTGTTTTGGAAGCCTGTTGAAAAGGGATACAGTTAATAATAATGAAGAGCCTAATGCACATATTTGGGTAGTTTTTTGTTTGGTTGATTTTGTTGTTGGTGGTAGTGGTTTTAAATTTAAATCACACAGTTTTAAATATCCTTGAGCCA